TCGTGCGGTTGGATGGCCTAGATATGTTGTTTTTTTAATTTTTTCAGGGAATGATTTTTACATGAAATCCCCACATCAAACCAGGGGCTCCTAATAAACAAAAAAGTATTTCAAATAAACAATATTGACCAAAGTACCACTGAAACTTTTATGGCTACTTGGTCAACATTTTTTAGGGAAATTATTTTTAATATCTCCTTAATTTTTCAAATTTACAGAAATACCAAATATTTTTCCAAATTATATATAAACATGGCATCAACAATCCCATATTTTTCTATATTTTTGGCGAAAATTTTCATTTTTTATGTACCCCGAGTTGTATATAAAACTTGGGGCAACTCGGCCGAGTTTGAGTGATGAACTCAGTGAAGTCTCGAAACTCTGGTCAAAACACATGCTACTTTGCAGTTCAAGGAAAACTCATTACAGGAATATTTGGAAAAATCGGTGCATTTTTGTCAGTTGAAAAGGCTAGTATACATGTGAAAACCTAGAACTGCTTTTCCTGATAAATTTTCTTGTTGCTTGGAAGTTCACAAAGAAAAGAAGGGAAACTTTTAAAATGGATTGGCCTTGGAGATATTAGCTTCCTTGTCATTTCCTAGATGGGTGTTTCGTAATAAAAATTTGGGCCTATATTGCTCCTGCAAAAGAAACAATTTCTGTTATGCGACGAAAAAACAATGTTTACTACTGTCATCCCTCTAAAAAATTTTGAGCATTCATGCATGCTTCTGTTTATGTTTACCATTTATTGGGATCTCTCTCTCTCTCTCTCTTGTTAAGGGACATCAACAACTTACTGTCACAAGTTTGGTCCAAACAGAAGAACATGCTGCTCCAACCACCATGGCAACACCATAGGCCACCAGCAACAGATTAATACACAGCCAAAACACCTGGTTCCATTCGCATAAACATAAAATTAATCAGACAATGATTTTGCCTTACCTAGTGATGCTAATGTCAAAACTATGTATTACCCAACATTTGAGTCACTCCACGTTTATCAAAAATGGATATAATGATATCATATGTGTGACAACTGTGCATCAAAAGAAACAATTGATTTAAGCTGAGAAATGTAATCATCTTCACTAACCGGCTTTTGACCCAAGCGAACACTGAAAGACTCGATGCCAAAACTTTGATCTCCATCAACATCAGGTATATCCTGCTTATAGTAGAAGCCAATTACATATACTTGATGGCATATATTGTAAGATGCATGGTAAGTGATTCTAGAAAAGTACTGAGCAATATGTCACAATTGGGACTGTAGATAGGCTTTTGGCGAGAGAAAATTAAAATGAATAAACTCCATCTTGGAGAGAACTAGTGACGTGGGAAATGTTCAAGTAAGAGAAAGAATAGCTTGCCGCTACAAAATTTTGTGCTTGGAATGCTTGGATAAGTATCCTTGGATGCCCTTCACATAGTATTCTTGTATGTGATGGAGATATTTCAGTAATCTGAAAGGTATAGTGGGCATTAAGCCTAAAATAAATTTTAAACTGTCTTCCTTTTAAGTTAGATCTTGGCGGACATATTCCTTAATTATGAGAGAGGGCATTTAAGACATGAGAAATTAGTATACTCATTCACAACATCAACGACAGCAGTTACCACATAATGAACATTGATCATTGATTGAATTGTGTGCTCGGAGCACAGTTTGTCTGTATTATAATGTGCAAGCTTGTTTGTGTTACATCTGTTGCATGAGTACATCTTTATCATTACTACAGTCGCAGTGTCTTTTAATTCATTTAACACCAAGTTAGTCTATGGAACACTGAGGGACTTGTTACTCATAAATGATATTCACTTTTTTAACAGTTTCCCGGTGCTATTGGAATGCAATGTAAATTATTGCAAGAATCGGCTGAACAAGAACGAAGTCCAACACGTGTGGGGGACAACAACCTCCCATTTGGGTCCGTCAAGTTCTTTATGTTCACATTCATGTTACAAATGACTAAATATATAAATATTTATCAAATACACCAGCCATATAACATCGTAAAGTGGATGATGTGGGTGATACTTAGCTCCACTACTCCACTTAGAAACATGTAGGAGCATATCTCTGTAGTTTAACAGGTCATATGATCTAGATCATTCATCATAGAATGTATTCAAGTGCATATTTAAACATGGTTTCTTTAAAAGAAATATCCATAATTAGATCATTGCGTCCTAGTTCATATGTTAGCCATTAAGCATAACAGAAATTTTATGAACTCAATTCTTTGAGAATGCAACTGTCTACAATTTATTTGACCACAACTTTTGCATAAAGGTGTGATGTGAGTGAGACACACTTTGCAGGAGGGAGGTCCAGGGTTTGAACCATATGAAAGACAAGCTAACCTTCCCCCAAAAGTATGGTGTCTCTGGAGAATACGGTGGCATAAAGGTTCCATAATGATTCAAGGTGTATCATATGGTAAATGGACATTTTTCGAAGGTTAGGCAAACACTAAGTAATCAACTGTAGACTTTGAGGCAACAACTATCATTTATCAAAAGTTGATAGGCATGAGAGACCCAAGGAAATGATAAGGGACAGGATAGAACACATGTGATCTACCAAGAGGCATAAACATTTGTACTCTTTAATTGTAGGATGAATAAAAAACAATGTAGATATTTATAAAGAAACGATACCTACACAGTTTATATATTACATGCGTCTTACCTTGAATAATGCTATTACAGTTGTGAAAAAGCACATGAATGCAGTGGCAAACATAAGAGCTCTCGGAAAAACTGCGGGCCTCCCGAGAGTGTATAGCTGCAAATTCATTTACATAGATCATTACATGAAACAAGCCAACAATCTTCTAACAGTTAAAAAAAGCCACAAAATGCTCCTTTCGCACTTAGGCTTTTACAACTTTTTACTACTGCTATTAAAAAAAGGAAGTCATTTTCAGGAGAGCCCAAGTTCATGATATTCAATAGATCCTGAATGGATAATCTGGATTATGAAAATCTACTCTCATAGCATGAGAGGACGATAGGTGTTCACCTGCATATGCATATAAAACGCAATTTGAACAACAATTGCTCTCACAGACAAGATGCAGCTTGCAGCAAGTAGTGCAAAACGTTTCCAGCGTAGAAACGGAAGCTGAGGGACAGGAGAATCAGGAAACCAATTCCACAAAACAAAAAGCAGCAATCCATATTAAAACTATAGTAAAAGGGAAAGGGTATTATAACCCAAAAGACTATGGAAAATAATCCACGTCATCACTGTAAGATAAATGACTGATGGTTATGGAGAGAATCAGATGGATCCACCGTTGAAGTCATGTATGTATCGATGAGACCCTCCCTTTCCATCATCGTCTGTCATTTCATTGACAGTGATGAGCTGAAATGGATCATGGTTTTTCATTGCCTGTCCATTCGATTATCATCTCCTTTCCCATAGTAAATTTCAATAAAAATGGTAAACATTTCGAGGATATAAGTCCATCTAAATCTAAAAAAGAACAGAAGAATAAGTAAGTTGTTTCTAGCATGAGCTAATTGAAAGAACTGCTCTAAAAAATCCTACATTGATGGAATACACACTTCCAAGCAAGAAACTTATGAGAAGGGCCCAAAGTAGTGCTGGGGAACGAATCATCAGTCCCATAAGAAAACTCTGCAATAAAGGAACAAATCAAGAAGAATTACGGAAAAATATTTCAGACAAACACAAGGGTTAACTTTAAAAAACAAACGCAATATCAAGTAAAACACCATTGCCACCACGAATTTCTCCATGCAATTGAAGTTACAAGTATTCTTCATTTTAAACACAACTCTCCGAAAATGGATATTGTGGACATACAAGAAATTCAAACTCTAGTGAATAACAATTGCCATACCATAAAAGCACAAAAAATGACGATTGCTACGCCAGTGCCCATAGAGAATTCTCCTGAAGCAAGCGGAAGATCTGGCTTATTAACCTAGATGAAAGGAAAAGCACCGATTCCTTAGACATCATGGTACATGGTAAGAGAGCATGACTCTTAAATAGAGAGCAAATGCAAGTGAAACACGTGCTAAATAATACACCCAATTCATTGATGAAGGCTCAATACTTCAGTTTTTTGGTTGCAAGGCAATGAATAGGAACATATCAAAGAAATCCCCTTGATATCTGGTTGATTTATTTTTGGCGGTGATTACCTTGTCAATTTCAATGTCAAATAACTGATTTAATCCAACAACATAGATGTTCATAAGAAGTGATGGCACCAGAGCCTGCCAAAATTAAAATGATGACATTAGAAATATGATGCGTAAAAAGCAATCTAGATTAGACAATCACATGAAGAAGCCAAACTTTGTCTTTCAATAATTAAAAAAAAGACCAGCTTCATTTATGTCCAAAGCTAGCTAAGAACAATACCTGCAGAAGTCCTTTGAGAAACAATGGTGAAAGATCAGATGAACCTTCAAATGTAAGAAGAGAAACTGATATTATTCCTATAACCTGATAGGTAAAAAGAGAGAATACTTCATCGGCCTTTAAATCTCACGTTATGATCTGATAACTAAAGAGTCCAGTTAGGCTTTCTATTGCAAAATAAGGAAAAATAAAACAATGTAAGGCAAAAAAACAAAATACCCAAAGATACACACATGCATCAAAACTTACAGTGCCATATACTGTGTGAGGACGAGAAAACCGGTATAAGGCAGTGAAATTCTTCCGAACATAGGACCACCAACTTTTTGAGACGGAAACCTTGGACTCAGATTCAAAAGTGTGCTTTTCTATTGCGAACAAGGAAGTCTTTTTACGAGCTCTCAGATGATCTAAGGGCTTATCATGTTTTTTTACATCAAGAGGTGAAGCAGAAAATCTCGACTTGTGAGGATCCCATGGTTGGTTGGAAGACCGTTTGTGTAGAGTATTATATGTCAGAACTTTTGGTTCTTGAATAGCAAAACCTACAAGTCACAATATTGGCAACAAATTTAAAGGATCAAAACAATTCAAACAAGAAACACTGTATAAAGTATCATTTAAATACATAATTACACGGACCCCAGAAACTAACAAAAACATTATACCTAGAAAAGGAATGCAAAATTAAGATGAAATGAAGAACTATCAAGAGCTCAATTATTTCTCCTAAGGGCTTTAGATTCTTGGTAGCAAGTATATAATTAGGCTATATTTGTGGTAAGCTTGTCCCTTACTTTAAATGGCTGACAACAACTGAACCTCTCCTTGCGCAAGGCGATGTGACCAATTGCTCTACGCAAAATTAAATTTATATAATCTAAGAGATTAACTTTTTTATTTTTTATTTTATCTTTTAGCATTTGACACAGCCAATAATCCCACAATTTTCCAACAATTTATGATCCATGATGATGTTTCCTTTGACAAACTATTTGAAATATGATCAAAAGGATGATAGGCCATTTAAAATTGGATCAAATGAACCGGGTGAAATGTTAAATAATGTTAGTGTGATTTGATAAATTCTCTTTGTTCTTTAAACACAAGCTTTTGTGTTTAAAACGTAATGAAACCAAGGTTTGAATCTTATATGAAAGACTAAGGATAAAAAAGATCAAAGAATAGAGAAGAAATCATGTGAATTCGAAGAGGCATGATTTATATTCCTTCTTGGTATAGTTTTTGGATTGCTGGAGAATTGATACATGAATACTGGTCGATAACTACTCAATGGAAATTAGCTATTGCATGATGTTTCAATATTTGAATTTTGCACACATTACACTAGCAAATCTACGCTAATCACTAATTGTGCATCATTAGGACTAAAATAACTTAAAAAAGATCTAAAATATTGGGTTGTTTTGCATACCATACACTAGTGTTGTATCATGTCTGCTACACCGCATAACTATCTCCGATCCTTTCTCGATGGAGGATAATAATAGTACATAAATAAACCTCCATAGTTTGTCATTGGGATCAGATTGTGGATGTCCCTATGTTTTGCTACAGATATGACCATGTAAGACTTGTTCCCTTGATGTAGCATTGTAAGATAAAGTTTTCATGTTTTTTGCACTCAATTGCTCCTTGATTATGTTATTTCTTGCAAAGGGCCTGGCAAAAGGTTACCTAAACAACAGTGCCACCAATATGAGGATAGAAGCATACATGTAGCACTCAATACTTGGCCCTACACTTTGTTGTCATAGTAGAAGCTAAGTTCAAGCTTCACATATCACTAAAGGTGCGCATATCACCTATGTCATTCACAAACCAATGAACCCATCGTTATTTTGTGATGATGCTAGAGCATTGTGGAGCAGAGCAATGAAAACCCTAGATATAGAGATGGCACTTCCTGGATCTGCAATGTCCCACACTTATCAAAAGCTGGAAGAACATTATGGAGTGTACCGGGATCACCGGTATACTCTGGCACTTATGAAATGAAATGAACTGCAGATGCTTTGAAGGGACAGTGCAGGAATTTGAAAACATTAAGGCAAGGATAATTGCATCAGCTGCGGAAGGGGCATCTTCAAGGAAGGAGCTTTGGGCCGTAGCTAGTCATGATATCATAGTTAACTTTAGGGATGTAGTAAGGGTGAAAAGGATCAAATAAGGGAGTGGTAAAATGGATACCGCCCCTGCCAGGAAGCCTTAAGCACAATTTCGATGGGAATGTGTAATGGAATAGAAGGCATGGCAAGAAGGGATCACAGTGGGACAATTCCGTTAACATACTCAGGGCCAGTGAGGATGTCTACATCAAATGCAGTTGCAATACAAGCCGTGCTTTGAGGATCATGGTTGATACAAGAAAACCACGGCAAAGGATCTTCCCAGGTGATGCACTTGCCAAGTCAGGGTAACAGGCTCATTGCTAGTCGGTAACTAGATGTTGAATTTTGTAATTGATTGTAATGGTTTACGTGACTACAATTTTGTTACAGCAGTCATTGTTACAGCCAGTGTACCACGACTTGGCTGAGTCCACTCGAACTCGGACTCGAACTCGGCCTTGCCCTATGGGTAAGGCGAGTTTAGCTATATACATCCAGGCCTGTATCCATTATATATATAATATTTCTCTTTTAATTCACCAATGTCCAATTGGCCTTTTGTTTAGCACATCCTACTCTTTTTCGTTGGAGTGAGGGTTCCCATCCGCCCATCCTGCACTCCCTTTATTATTTTACCCACAGGAACTAAGTCTTTGTTTTTTATGGACTGGAGCCCAAAAAAATGAAGTATGTGGGGTTCAAACCCAAGCCACAGTGCAAAGCAACATCCTGTAAATGGCAGGCCAAATCAACATGGCCTTTGATGTTCGATGACAAGAAAGTGCGAGGATAGATATATATATATATATATATATATATATATATATATATAG